TGTTCCTGGGCTTAGAGGTCGGGCGGGTCCTCCTACGGGCGGGTTTTGAAAGAGAAATGAAAAACAGTCACAAAAATACAAAAAAATACAGCCAGACAACAAAAACATCGAAATATCGTCCCCAGACTGTGTCCTTGACTGTTTTTGAAGATTCCTCCTGCAAATGGACGTGCCCGACTTTTTGGACGCCCGAAATGGGTACGGAAAGGATGGGCACAATGCCCAACAACAAATGCTGTCCCAAACCAACAGCGGTCGCTGGTGGGCAGGCGGCCTTCTGTCTCAAATGGACACAGGCCGCGGCGACACCGAGAGCGAGTCCTGTTCAAAATGAACAGGAACTGCTGTGCGGAACTGTACCCATTCTTTCCGTGCCCATCTCGTTCGTGCAGACTCCTGGGCTCTCGCCGTCCCCGGGGCCGGCGGGCCTCCAGCTGGCGCCCCCCGGGGGGGCCCTCTCGGCTGGACCCCCTGGGGGGGCTGCCGAGGAGGGCCCGCCCGAGGCCACCTCCTGGAGGCTCTCGGGGCGCCCAGGGACTGGCGGCGAGCGATGGGGGGGAAATCCTCCTCCTCCTCCACTTCCTCCTCCTTCTTCTCCTCCTCCACTTCCTCCTCCTCCTCCTCCTCCTCCACTCCGGCTCCTCCTCCTCCCTCCTCCTCCTCCTCCTCCTCCTCCTCCTCCTCCTCCTCCTACTCCTCCTCCTCCTCCTCCTCCTCCTCCTCCTCCTCCTCCTCCTCCTCCTCCTCCTCCTCCTCCTCCTCCTCCTCCTCCTCCTCCTCCCCCTCCCCCTCTCGCTCCTCGTCCTCCTCCCGCCCTCCCCAGGAGGGGGGGAAGTGAGAAGGAGAAGGTCTTCTCAGAAGGCGGCGGGACTTCTCAGAAACCCTCGCGCCTCGTGAGAAATTGTTTTTGTTTCGAGTACGGCTTAGAACACTTCTCAGAAGACCGGGGGACTTCCGAGTCTTTCTGAGAAGGCCTTCTCCTTCTCACTTCCCCCTTTCGCTCGCCGCCGAAGGAAGGCGTGGAACTTCAAGGGGCAAAGGCCGTGGTGGGCAGAAGCCAGAGAGGGTCGGTGAGCTGAAAAGCTCAACGGGCCGATGTTATATCGTGTGCTCGTCGTGCGGTGGCTGTGCTCGAGGCTCTCGCAAGAAGCCGCCTCGAGGAGGTACGTCCATGCGACGTGTGGCGGCAGGCGCAGCAGGGGGACACTCCACGCATGTGGACTGGTGCTGGCAAGGCACACATGGGTCGGAAGAAGTAGGTAGAAACATGAAGTAGGAGGGCGTTGAAAGTAGGTTGGGTTCCGCCCGCCCCCTTGGAAGGACGGAACAGGTGAGGCCACTCGATAATCAAAGTCAAAAAGCGCTTAAAGTAGATTAGAGCATGGGAATCCGAACCAACCGGGTAAGTTTCCTGGATATGGGGGACGGCCGCGTCGTGCGCACCGCCCACCCCCCCTCGCTCAGCGCTCGTCGGGAGTGGCCCAGGGCCCTGGCCCCCCTCGGTGGTGCCTACTGCCCCTCCCTCCCTCGGTCCAGGCTCCCAGGGAGTCGCGTGGCCCCAGGAGGGCCAGATGCCGAGCGAGGCTTTCAAGCTGTTCGGGCTGTCGTAGGAGGGGGCGGCCGTGCTGGGTCAAGTTGCTCGATAAGCGAAAGCGGCGAAGGCGCCAGCAGCGGCCAGAGGCCTTTCAAGCCGCTGCCCACGACCCCAGCGTGCTGGGGTCGCTCCCCCCTCTTCCTTGCATGTGAACGGGGTCGCCCTCCGTAAAAGCTTAAGCTTGTGCCTCCACGTCCTCCTCCTCCTCCTCCTCATCATCAGCATCATCATCATCAGCAGCAGCAGCCGCATCAACATCATCCTCATCATCATTATCATCATCATCATCATCATCATCATCATCATCATCATCATCATCATCATCATCATCATCATCATCCTCATCCTCATCCTCATCCTCATCCTCATCCTCATCCTCATCCTCATCCTCATCATCATCATCATCATCATCATCATCATCATCATCACCATCATCATAATCATCATCATCATCATCATCATCATCATCGTCATCATCATCGTCATCATCATACTTAATCGTCATCATCATCATCGTCATCATCATCATCCTCAACCTCATCCTCATCCTCATCCTCAACCTCCTCCTCCTCGCACCCCTCCTCCTCGTCCTCCTCGTCCTCCTCCTCCTAATCCTCCTCCTCCTCCTCCTCTCATCATCATCATCATCATCAGCATCATCATCATCAGCATCGTCATGAGCAGCAGCAGCATCAGCATCAGCATCAACATCATCATCAGCATCAATAACATCATCATCATCATCACCACCACCATCATCATCAGCATCATCACCATCATCGTCATCATCAGCATCATCAGCAACAGCATCATCACCATCACCACCATCATCATCACCACCACCACCACCATCATCATCATCATCATCATCAGCAGCAGCAGCATCATCAGCATCATCGCCATGATCATCATCCTGATCATCAGCATCATCATCGTCATCATCGTCATCGTCATCGTCATCATCATCGGCATCGTCACCATCGCCGACGCCGTCATCATCGGCATCATCATCAGCATCATCAGCATCATCGTCAGTTTCAGCATCAGCAGCATCATCAGCATCAATAACATCATCGACATCATCATCATCACCACCATCATCATCATCATCATCATCATCATCATCATCATCATCAGCATCATCATCATCATCATCATCATCATCATCATCATCATCATCATCATCATCATCATTATAATCATAAGCAGCAACAGCATCATCATTATCATCATCATCCTCATCATCAGCATCATCATCGTCATCATCGTCATGGTCATCGTCATCAGCATCGTCATCATCGCCGTCGCCGTCATCAACAGCATCATCAGCATCATCATCAGCATCACCGTCATCATCAGCATCATCAGCATCATCATCATCACCATCATCATCACCACCACCATCATCATCACCACCACCATCATCATCATCAGCAACAGCATCATCATCGCCATCAGTATCATCCTCATCATCAGCATCATCGTCATCATTGTCATCGTTATCGTCATCATCATCGTCATCATCGCCGTCGCCGTCATCATCGGCATCAGCATCACCGTCATCATCAGCATCATCATCAGCAGCATCATCAGCACCATCACCATCATCATCACCACCACCATCATCATCACCACCACCATCATCATCATCATCATCAGCAGCAGCGGCAGCAGCATCATCGCCATCATCATCATCCTCATCATCAGCATCATCATCGTCATCTTCGTCATCGTCATCATCATCGTCATCATCGCCGTCGCCGTCATCATCAGCATCAGCATCATCAGCATCAGCAGCATCATCGGCATCATCAGCATCAGCATCATCAGCATCATCATCACCATCACCATCATCATCACCATCACCATCACCATCATCAGCAGCATCATCACCACCACCATCATCAGCAGCAGCATCATCACCACTAGCATCATTATCATCCTCATCATCATCATCCCCCTCCTCCTCCTCCTCCTCATCCTCCTCCTCCTCCTCGTCCTCCTCGTCCTCGTCCTCCTCCTCCTCCTCCTCCTCCTCGTGACCCCCTTGAGACGCCTCCCCCCCCGACCGGGCAAGAGGGGGGGCGGATGGGGAGAGCGGAGCGTGGGCGGGCGGGAGCGGGCGGGGAGAGGGGGGGGGCGGGGGGAGCGAGGGGAACACAGGAGAGGGAGCAGGGGAGCGGAGAGAGAGAGAAAAGGGGAAAAACAAAAAAAAAAAAAAAAAAAAAAAACAACAAAAAAAAAAAAGAGAGAGAGAGAGAGAGAGGGTGAGGGGATAACAGCAAAGGGAGAGGCGAGGAGGCGGTCAGAGGGAGAGAGGGAGAGGGCGAGGACAGCTCCCAAGACGCCTGCAGGGGTCCCCGGATAGTGCCGAAGAAGCCCACGACGCCTCAACCGTGGACTACCCGCCTCTCCTGGGGGTCGGCGGGATGGCGTAAGCCTCTTGAATAGCAAGGGGAAGGGGCGAGGAGACGGGAGGGGGAGAGGGAGAGGGGGACAAGTTCGATGCGCTCGCGCCACATCTGGCATCCTATCCCTCCCTCTCATGCCTTCCCATTGCGCGGATGCTTCCTTTATCCGCGGCCGCGTGTCGTAGCCGGCCTGGAACTTCAATGTGGACCCCTTATCGTGTTTTCCGCAGTCGGCAAAGTGAGTTGCGTACAAAGGCGGAGGACGAGGTGGCGGGTAAGCACGAGGATGAGCAGAGGGAAAAAGAGGTGGAATAAGCACGAGGACGAGGACGAACAGCAACAGCAGAAACCGGAGCGGAAGGAGCGGAAGGAGTGGGAGGAGCAGGAGGACCATGGGAAGACACGGGAAATGAGGGGGGCAACATCGATGAAGAAGGACTCGGATCCAGAGAAGTGGCCCGCGCTGGGGCGAGGGCGCGGTCCTGAAACGAGGCCCACGCTGCAGCGGGAGCACGATGTTGGAAGGACCGAAAACGTTCGGATTGGACAAACTACATAAGAAAGACCAACTCGCCCACATCATGTGTGTAAAAGACAATACGCGGAGGGGGGCATACACATTCAGCACATTTTCGGGGGAGAGGCGAGAGTAGTAGTCATCATGTGTACTTTGTGGAGGGTTAGAGGGGGTAGTAGGTACGCGCAGTGTGAGCAGCCACCCCCGAGGCCAAAGAGACCTACGGCGCTAGTGGGGATATCACAAAGTACCGATCCCGCTACTCCCCGGACCTCTCACGGGATGCGTTCTGACCAGAACTTCGAGGCGAATCCGGCATTTGCGGCGAGGGCCTCCAAGGAGGCCCCAGAAAGGGGAAAACGAGGCGAGGGTAGCGGCATCGGTACCTCTTCCTCCTCTTCAGCTACACGCGGGCCTCTGAGGTGGGGGCCAGGCGCTGGAAGCTATGGCAGCCGAAGCCGGAGGGAGCCCGCACCTCTCAGCGGTAGGGCCTGGCGGCAGGCTGCGGCTTCGGCGCAAGGACCGCCACGATGCTGTGCACCACCCCGTTCGACGCGAACGTGTCGAGCTGGCGGGGGGGCAGGGGAAGATAGATACCTCCTAGATGGTGTCGGAGTAGATGGGGCCGAAGGTTCGCGCCGCATCGGCGATACATCGGCGATGCGTCGACGATGCATTGGCGATACATCGGCGATGCAGCGGCAATGCATCGGCGACGTCGGCGATGCATCAGCGGCGTCCGCGCGAAGCAAATCGGTCGGCGATGCATCGGCGGCGTCCACGCTAAGCAAATCGGGCTCCACATCGAGCCGCATCGGTGATGCGTCGGCGATGCATCGGAGATGCGGCGCGATCCTTCGAACCCATCTACTCCGACCCCATCTAGGCGGCCTAGAGTAATACCAACCCTTGCTCGTAGCGTTTTGTCTCAACCCACGAGAGGTGACCAGCGCCAACCCCCGGTGACTTTTTGGTAGAAGGTCCGTGGGCAGACAGGTGCTCAATCAGAACAGCACCCGTCTTGTCTTGATTCGGTGCGGGGCGAGCCCGGGGGGACAGCGAGAAGGGGTGGGCCTTCTCGGGAGGCCCGGAAGTCCCCGGCCTGGTGAGAAGATTTCTGAGCCTTCCCCGAAGCACAGAAAACCTCTCAGAAGGCCAGAAGCCTCCTGAGAATCGGCGGTGGACAAACCTCCCTTTAGTAAACCTCCCATTAGTGAAAACGGCCTGGGACCGAAACCGACGGACCTGGACCCGCAAAAATAACAGCCGCGACGCCCTCTTGCGAACCGAAAACGGCCAATTCCTTACTCGACGTGTCGGGGTAGGAGGTCTGTCCACCCCCGAGAGCAGCCCCTCCCCCCTCTCGCTCCCCCCCTCGCTCGCCGCCGAAGAGGCAGGGAAGGAGGCGCGAGAGCGGCGCCCCGCGCGCCGTGCCCATGGCCCCCCGCGCGCCGCGGAGGCCTCCAGACGAGAAGCTTCTGCGAGGTTCCGCCTCCGGCGGCCCTCGCTGGGCCTCGGGGCCTTCAAAATACACGTCGGTCGGAAGAGGTGGGTAAGAACATGGAGCAGGAAGGCGGATTAAGTTGATTGGGTCCAGGCCCAATCAAAGAATAACGAAACACAGCAAAAGCGTGCCGGTTCTTGAAGTAGGAAGGCGCTTGAAAAAGATTGGGATCTGGGAATCCAAAAATACCTACTTTCAATGACCGGCGTGTAACTTTGGAGCCACGAACCGGTGCGGTGACAGACCGTGCGGTGACCTCGAAATCCCCCAAGACCTCACCGCACGGTCCGCCAACGCACGGTTTTGGGACCTCGGATGCCCCAGTCGCCCGAGACGCCCTCGGAGAACGACCCGAGTCCCAAACCCGTGCGGTGACCCCGCATCTCCAGCGCCTCACCGCACGGTGTGGTCACCACCCTGTTTGGGGACCCCCGAATAACAGTCAGGATGAAAAATTTGTCCCCAGAAGGGGTCGAGACCTTCGGAGGTCCACGGTGAAGAGAACGGAAACAGACGCAACCAGACACATCGCCGGGGATCTCGGCGCGCAGAATGGCAACAAATACGTCCGTGGAGGTTCCCAGCATTGCCACACCTTCCTCGTGGCAGGTATGTCCGAACCCGGACGACCCCGCCTTCTTGGGACGGCCGCGGATTCCCTTCGGGCACTCTGGTTTGATCAACAAAACATATGTGCCGACGTCGGGTGCAGGATCCAGATTCTGACGAGAACACAATTCGGCTGGCCTAGGAAAGATACATCCAGGTATATACGAGCACCAGCACGAACACGAGTGAGAATACTGAGCACGAGTGGGAATACTGAGCGCGCGCACGAGTGGGAGCATGAATACTCGTGCGCTGTTTTTCTTGTTTTGTTGAGAGCTGCAGGGCCGCATCGACGGGTATTTCGGTCTCTTGTGTCGCGGCAAAAGTGCGGGAAGGACGGTCCGGTGTTTCGGGCCACCCGAGCTCGAGGCGAATTCGCGTGGAACGCGGAGAGCGGCCAAACAGCCACCATCAACGTGCAAAGAAAGTTGACCCTTAGACGGCTGCCTCTCTCTGTGGCCCAGCTGATCACACGCTCGCTGCTGGACCTCGAAGGCTGGCCAAGCTCCTGTGCGCCTCCAGAAACCACCTTCTCGGCGACGCCTCACTGCTCGCCGTCCTCCTCCTCGTCGAACTCGCCCTCCTCCTCGGCGGTGGCGTCCTGGTACTGCTGGTACTCGGAAACCAGATCGTTCATGTTGCTCTCGGCCTCGGTGAACTCCATCTCGTCCATGCCTTCCCCGGTGTACCAATGCAGAAACGCCTTGCGCCGGAACATGGCGGTGAAATACTCCGCAACTCTCTTAAACATTTCTTGAATCCGCCGACCCCTTGAGGTCACGGCGTGTGAGATACTTCCCCCTCACCAAACCCCTCCCCCGGGAGCCTTGTCCGGCCGGTTTGCAGGGGGGGGGGGGGGGGGGGCAAAGGTGTCGGCCGCACCCTTGGAGCCTCAGGGGGCCCCAAAACGGGCCAAGAGGGCCCGAAAAGGCCCCAGACGGTCCAAGAGGGCTACGAGTCGCCGAAAGATCGCTCCAAGATGCCCAAGATCGCCTCCAGACCCCAAGAAGCCACCAAGAGGCGTCCCAAGAGGCCCTCCAGGAGCAAAAACCGTCCCATTCCCTGAAGAAAACGCATATGTTTAGCACATTCGCCTCTTGGGCTTTCACGAGGCCCACAACGACCCAAGAAGCATTTAAGACCGACACAAGATAGTCGCCAAAGAGGCCCCCAAGAGAACTCCAAGACGGCCCAAGAGGGCCACAAGACGGCCCCAGAAGCTTCCAAAACGACCCAGGAGGGCCCTGGGACGGCCCCAAGAGGAGACACAGAGGGGGAACCCGAATGAACATTTCGAGCACTCGGCCCCGAAAAAACCTGAGGAGGCGCCAATAAGCCCCCAAGAGGCTCCCACGAGGCCCCCGAGATGCCCAAAAGAGGCTCCTAGAGGCCTCAAAACGGCTCCCAAGAGGCCTGAAAAGTGCTGCCAGGAGAGCCCAGAGAAGCCCAAGAGCAGAGCGGCGATCCGCCAACCGCCCCCGACGAAATCCCAAGAAGCTGAAACCCCAAGATTCCCCAGAAATCGTTCCGCGAACTCCGTTTTTCACTCTCACTGCCGCCCCAAGGGGTCGGCGGTGCGGCGTCAGCCAATGAATAGCGGTAGAATTGCCAGCAAAGGCCACCGCCATCTTCAACCCCTTGGGGGGAATGTCGCACACTGACGCTTTGATGTTGTTCGGGATCCACTCGACGAAGTACGACGAATTCTTGTTTTGCACGTTCAGCATCTGCTCGTCGACTTCCTTCGTGGACATGCGACCACGGAAGAGCGCCGCGGCGGTCAGGTAGCGCCCGTGGCGCGGGTCTGCTGCGCACATCATGTTCTTCGCGTCGAACATCTGCTGGGTAAGTTCAGGAACTGTCAGGGCCCTGTACTGCTGGGAGCCCCTGCTCGTGAGCGGTGCGAAACCAGTCATGAAGAAATGCAAGCGCGGGAAAGGAATCAGATTTACCGCGATCTTGCGCAAATCACAATTGAGCTGACCTGGGAAGCGCAAGCAAGTGGTCACGCCACTGATCGCCGCGCTCACAAGATGGTTCAGATCACCATACGTCGGCGTCGTCAACTTCAACGTCCTGAAGCAGATATCATAGAGCGCCTCGTTGTCCAACAAGAAGCATTCGTCCGCGTTCTCCACGAGCTGGTGGAAAGACAACACGGCGTTGTACGGCTCCACGACAGTATCCGAAACTTTTGGGCTGGGAATAACGCTGAACGTCTCCATGATGCGATCCGGATACTCCTCACGGACCTTGGAGATCAGCAGGGTTCCCATCCCAGCGCCAGTGCCTCCTCCCAAGGAATGACACATCTGGAAGCCCTGCAAGCAGTCGCACCCCTCAGCCTCCTTGCGGACAACATCGAGGACACTATCGATCAATTCAGCTCCTTCTGTATAGTGTCCTTTCGCCCAATTATTCCCAGCTCCTGTCTGCCCGAACACGAAGTTGTCTGGCCGAAACAGCTGCCCGAACGGCCCCGCGCGGACGCTGTCCATGGTACCGGGCTCCAGGTCCATGAGCACTGCCCTGGGCACGTAGCGCCCACCAGTCGCCTCGTTGTAATACACGTTGATCCGCTCCAGCTGAAGGTCGGAGTCGCCGTGATAGGTCCCCGTTGGGTCTATGCCGTGTTCGTCACTGATCACCTCCCAAAACTTGGCGCCGATCTGATTCCCGCACTGGCCGCCCTGGATGTGAACGAGCTCGCGCATTGCGCCAAGTTTAAGGGTCCCGAGGCCACAGGGAAGTGGTGAACGAAAGTTGCCCAGCCTTCGTCTGGAACCAATCTTGAGCCAAAATGGCTACGGAAAGAATACTCCTGCGTTCTTGGCCTCTTGGGCCCAGGTTCCCAGGCGATCTAAGACTAATGGGCGATATTGGGCGCTTTCTCGGGGCCTTTGGAGCGTGGCTGGGGGCGCATACTTCCCACATGCCGTCAGATCCTGACAACGGACCGTCATGGGTTCTATTGGAAGCACCTTGGGCCGTATTCGAGGCCCTAGGAACCTGGCCCAAGAGGCCAATGCCTTTGAACGAACATAGTTATGGGTATGGTTCGGGAATGCTCACAACTTCAATGTCAAACGGTATCACACGGCCCAAGAGGCCCCCAATATCGACAATGGACAGACGGCCCCCGAGGCCCCCAAGAGGGGCACAAGAGGCCCCCGAGACGACCCTAGAGGGGCCCAAGAGGCCCCCAGACGGGCCAAGAGGGGCCCAAGAGGCGAAACAGGAACTGCTGTGGCGGGATGTGCCGAAGGCCACTTCCTTTCTCTCGCTCTCTGTCTCGCGCTCTCTCTCTCTCTCTCTCTCTCTCCCCTTCTCTGTCTCTCTCTCTCTCTCTCTCTTTCTGTCTATTTCTCTCCCTTGCTCTGTCTCCATCTCTCTCTCTCTCTCTCTATCTCTCTCTCTCTCGATATCACTTTGTCTCGTTATAAGTGTGGCTCTCTCTCTCTCTCTCTTTCTCTCTTTGATACTCTCTTGTGTGTATAGCATGTATGCAAATATTCACATGTGCGCAAACACAATTAAGCATCCATACGATGTGTGCACTTGTAGACTAGCCCAACGAAGAACCCAACTATGTGCAGCTGTGAGTGCCGCAGTGGTTAGAGTGCTTCGGTGGAACTATGGGGCAACAAAACGCGAGAGGGGCGCGCCAATTTGTCGAATGGGGCGCGTGTGAACCCTCCCACTGGGACATTCAATGGCACTCCCTATAGGACCATAAAACGTGTAAGGGGTGCCGAAACGGGCGTGGCGCCCACATGCGAACTGCGCCACCGGGTCCTTCGGTGGAGCTCCCTATGGGGCCACGAAACGTGTGAGCGGTGTGCCGAAACGGGCGTGACGCCCACATGCGAGCTCCAGCACTGAGGCCTTCGGTGGAGCTCCCTATGGGGCCACGAAACGTGTGAGTTGTGTGTCGAAACGGGCGTGACGCCCACATGCGAACTCCAGCACTGGGGCCTTCGGTGGAGCTCCCTATGGGGCCACGAAACGTGTGAGTTGTGTGCCGAAACGGGCGTGACGCCCACATGCGAACTCCAGCACTGGGGCCTTCGGTGGAGCTCCCTATGGGGCCACGAAACGTGTGAGCTGTGTGTCGAAACGGGCGTGACGCCCACATGCGAACTCCAGCACTGGGACCTTCGGTGGAGATCCTTACAGGGCCACGAAACGTGTGATGGGTGTGCCGAAACGGGCGTGACGCCCACAGCACGAGGCCTTTCGGTGGAACTCCCTACGGAGCCACGGGACGTGTGAGGGGCGCGCCGAAACGGGCGTGACGCCCACATGCGAACTCCAGCACTGGGACCTTCGGTGGAGCTCCCTATGGGGCCACGAAAGGAGTGAGGGGTGTGCCGAAACGGGCGTGACGCCCACATGCGAACTACGCCACTGGGACCTTCGGTGGAGCTCCCTTTAGTGCCACGAAACGTGTAAGGGGTGTGCCGAAACGGGCGTGACGCCCACTTGCGAACTCCAGCACTGGGACCTTCGGTGGAGCTCCCTATGGGGACACAAAACGTGTGAGTTGTGTGTGTCGAAATGGGCGTGACGCCCACATGCGAACTCCAGCACTGGGACCTTCGGTGAAGCTCCTTACAGGGCCACGAAACGTGTGATGGGTGTGCCGAGACGGGCGTGACGCCCACATGCGAACTCCAGCACTGGGACCTTCGGTGGAGCTCCCTTTAGTGCCACGAAACGTGTGAGGGGTGTGCCGAAACGGGCGTGACGCACACATGCGAATTCTAGCACAGGAACCTTCGGAGGAGCTCCCTATGGGGCCACGAAACGTGTGAGGGGTGTGCCGGAACGGGAGTGATGACGATGATGGTAATGATTTCGGCCATAATGGTGATCACGGCGATGATGATAAATATGATGATCATGATGACGGCCGTGGTGTTGATGAGGATGGTGACGACGACGACGACGACGACGAGGACAACGACGACGACAACGACGATGACGATGACGCTGACGATGACGATGATGATGATGATGATGATGGTGATGATGATGATGATGGTGGTGATAATGATGATCATGATCATGATGATGATATTGATGATAGTGATGACGACGACGATGACGACGACAACCACGACGACGAACAACGACGACGACAACGACGACAACAACAAAAACAACAACAACACCAACGACAACAACAACAAGAACAACAACAACGACGATGACGATGATGATGATGACGTTGATGATGATGAAGTTGATGATGATGATGCTGATGATGATGATGATGGTGATGATGATGATGATGATGGTGGTAATGGTGATGCTGTTGATGATGATGGTGACGACGACGACGATGATAACGATGATGATGACGATGACGATGATGATGATGATAATGATGATGATAATGATGATGATGAAATGATGATGTTGGTGATGATGATGCTGATGGCGATGATTATGGCGATGATGATGGTGATGGTGATGATGACGATGGTGATGGTGATGGTGATGGTGATGATGATGATGATGATGGTGGTGGTGATGATGGTGATGATGGTGATGATGATGATGATGATGGAGGGAGGAGGGAGTAGGGAGTAAGGGAGGAGGAAGGAGTGAGGAACGCGGGGCGCTTTCTCTTCAAAACGAGGAGCCAACACTATAAGATGGTCGGGAATAAAAAGTCGACGTATGTATAACGTATATCCATCCGCAAAAGATCATTGAACTGGATTGCGGTTTTCGTTGGAGGGGGGGGGAGGGGGCGGTCCCCTAGGCGCCGAACCGGCCCCGCAGCTGCTCCCTAATAGCCAAGGAGTCCTCGGTGCCAGAAGCTCCAAAAATCGCTCTGAGCCCCCCCCCTAGAGATGCACCCCAAACGGTCGAAGACAGGTCCAAGAAGCTTCCTCGGTGCTCGAGAAGCCTCCAAAACGCTTCCTGAAAGCGCAGGGGAACCCCCAACAGGGTTCAATCAAACAAACAACGTCGCATTCCCCTAGGGAAATCCACATGTTCAGTACATTTGCTTTTCATTTTCGGAGCGTCTAATACGGCCCCAAAGGCATCCAACATCGCCCCAAGACGGCCCCACCAGACGGCCCCGTCGTCGGGTTGCCACGTGGGGGAGGGGGGCCAGTTCGAACCCCCCCCCTGCAGTTCAGGGGGGAAGGGTCCCCCTCTCCCCTGGTTCGCACCCCCCCCCCCTCCGAGGGGGGGGCCGATTCGAACTCCCCCATCACCAACCCCCTTGCAGTTCCGAGAAGGGGGGTGGGCCGGTTCGAACCCCCCCCATTCCCAGCGTCTTAGAACGCGCTCTTGTATCGGCAACCGTGGCTCCTGGCATGCCGAGGCGTGGAAGAATGTCAAGAACTGCCTGGCGTTAAGTCGGGCCTGTCTCTACAGGGGGAATATCCAAAAATAGTCCAAAAATAGTCTGAGGACTATTTTTCCCAACCCTCCTGCGTTGGGTACTCGTTTTGAATAGAGCAATGTGGTCTCCACCTTCCTTCTCCTCCTCCCGCCTCCTCCCGCCTCCTCCTCTTTACGTCATCTCTTTGTGGGGCTGCGATCTGTGAAACTGTCGCCACTTTCGGGGGTTGCTGGGGGGCCCAGCGGAGTGACGCCATACGGGGACTCAGATTAGACCTCGCCATCCCTGGTGGGGCTGCGATCTGTGAAACTATCGCCACTTTCGAGGGCTGCTGGGGGGCCCAGCGGAGCGACGCCCTACGGGGACTCAGATTAGACCTCGCCATCCCTGGGGGGGCTGCGATCTGTGGAACTGTCGCCACTTTCGGGGGCTGCTGGGGTGCCCACCGGAGTGACGCCCTACGGGGATTCAGATTAGACCTCGCCATCCCTGGTGGGGCTGCGATCTGTGAAACTGTCACCACTTTCGAGGGCTGCTGGGGGGGGCCCAGCGGAGTGACGCCCTACGGGGACTCAGATTAGACCTCGCCATCCCTGGGGGGCTGCGATCTGTGGAACTTTCGCCACTTTCGAGGGCTGCTGGGGTGCCTAGCGGAGTGGCGCCCTACGGGGACTCAGATTAGACCTCGCCATCCCTGGGGGGCTGCGATCTGTGAAACTGTCGCCACTTTCGAGGGCTGCTGGGGGGCCCAGCGGAGTGACGCCTTACGGGGACTCAGACTTAGACCTCGCCATCCCTGGGGGGCTGCGATCTGTGAAACTGTCGCCACTTTCGAGGCTGCTGGGGGGCCCAGCGGAGTGACGCCTACGGGGATTCAGATTAGACCTCGCCATCCCTGGGGGGCTGCGATCTGTGAAACTGTCGCCACTTTCGAGGGCTGCTGGGGGGCCCAGCGGAGTGACGCCCTTCGGGAATTCAGATTAGACCTCGCCATCCCTGGGGGGCTGCGATCTGTGAAACTGTCGCCACTTTCGAGGCCTGCTGGGGGGCCCAGCACAGTGGGTAGTCACCGCGGATTCAAATTTGACCTCGCCATCCCTGGGGGGCTGCGATCTGTGAAACTGTCGCCACTTTCGAGGCCTGCTGGGGGCCCAGCACAGTGGGCTTCCCGCACGTCTTTCTCCTGCTCTTCGTTCCCGACTCCCCATGTCCTCTTCGAGCCTGTAGTTGTCGCCCCTCGTTCTTGTATGGCTCTCCTGCGCATCATGCCATAGGCGCGTGTCCCAAGTAGCTTAACAACGGATCCTACAATTTGGTTGTCCATGCAAGTTTCGGCCAACACCTCGTTTCCCATGATACAAATGGGTTGGGTACGTCACAGGGTAATTGAGTATTTTTGACCATTTTGAAATACTTGTTGAATACATGTTACTTCTCTTCGAAAATCCCCCTGTAGGGGGACACGCCCGACTTAAGTCTGGCGTTTTGAATCCCCATAAGGGACCAGGGACCCCCTCTCCCTGCCCGCGGACTGTTGCGATCCTCCTCCCCTCCACTCGCCGAGGCGTACTCCCCTCGTGCCCGCTCCAGGATACTGCACCTCCAGCATGGCAGCTAATGCATAATGCCCCATTCCACGCGTGCCCGCGTGAGGATGGTGCGCTTCCAGCATGGAAGCTAGTGCTTAAACCTCCATTCCACGCGTGCCCGCTCCAGGATGGTGCACTTCCCGAAGGCCAGCGCCCGCTCAAGGATTGCGCACTTCCTGCATGGCTGCTGACTCCTAGGCCCCTCATCCCACGCGCATCCGCTCGAAAATCGTGCACGTTCCGCATTCCCAGCCGCTGCTCCCAAGCGCTCCAGGGCCTCCCAAGCAACGATCCCTCGTTAGGAACAATGGATATGCGTCCCGAGCTTCCAAGGCGGCCTGTGCAGACAACCAAGGACACCAAGATGGCCTCAGATGCATCGAAGACGGCCCATCATGGCCCCAAGGCCGCCAGACATTGATTCAAGACGGCCCAAGATGCATCCAAGAGAGCCCAAAATGGCCACAACAAGACCTCCAACAGAGTCCGAAGAAACCAAAATCATGTTGTTTTCCTTGAATGTACTCGCATTCTCGCCTTCGTCGGACTGCCGTCAGCTCAAGACGGTCCAAGACGACTCCACGATGGCCCAAGAGGCATCCAACACGGCCCCAAGACGGCCCAAGACCTCCAGTGAAACCCACGACGGCCTTAAAGACCCTTCGACAGCCCAAGACGGCGCCAAGACGGCCCCACGACGGCCCCCAGGCGCCCACCATACAGCCACGAGGGCACCCAGGCGGCCCAAAAGAGCCCCAAGCTGGCGTAAGAGGGCCCCAAGACGGCCCAAGCGGGCCCTGGGGAACCCCAAAAACTGACACACAAGAGACCAAGACTGCCCAAAAGACGGCCCAAACAGCCCCAAGACGGCCAAAACGACTTTCCTCCTCCTCCTCCTCCTCCTCAGCAGCAGCACCACCACCACCTGTTGAATCAGCAGCAGCAGCATCAGCATCAGAATCATAATCAGCATCAGCATCAGCAGCATCAGCATCAGCATCAGCATCAGCATCAGCATCAGCATCATCATCATCATCATCATCATCATCATCATCATCATCATCATCACATCATCAGCATCATCAGCATCATCATCATCATCAGCATCATCATCATCATCATCATCATCATCATCATCATCATCATCATCATCATCATCATCATCATCATCATCCTCATCCTCATCATCTCATCCTCATCCTCATCCTCATCATCATCATCATCATCATCATCATCATCATCATCAGCATCAGCATCAGCATCAGCATCATCATCATCATCATCAGCAGCAGCAGCAGCATCAGCATCAGCATCAGCATCATCATCCGCAGCATCATCATCAGCATCATCATCAACATCAACATCAACATCAGCATCGACATAAGCATCGACATCAACAGCAATTGTATCATCATCGGCAACAGCAGCAACATCCTAATCATCATCATCACCAGCATCACCCTCATCAGCATTACCATCGTCATCGTCATCGTCATCGTCATCAGCACTATCATCATCATCATCATCATCACCGTCAGCATCATCATCGTCATCATCGTCATCATCAGCATCATCGTCATCATCAGATTCGTCGTCGTCATCATCAGCATCATCATAATCAGCATCAGCATCATCAACATCATCATCAGCTGCATCATCATCAGCATCAGCATCGGCATCATCATCATCATCATCGTCATCGTCGTCGTCGTCAGCATCACCAGCGGCATCAGCAACCTCAACATAATCGCCTTCGTCACCATCGTCAGCGGCGTCATCATCCCCATCATCCATATAATCCTCATCATCCTCGTCACGACTGTCCAAAGCCATAGTCAGCCTCGTCATCATCATCAGCATCATCATCATCAGTAGCAGCAGCAGCAGTAGCCTCAGCATCGTCATCATTGTCACCAGCATCATCATCATCAGCAGCAGAATCATCAGCATCATCATCAGCAGCATCATCATCGTCATCGTCGACGTCGTCATCCTCACCATCACCACCATCATCACCACCACCATCACCAGCACCATGACCCGCATCATCATCATCATCATCATCATCATCATCATCATCATCATCAGCATCATCCTCATCAGCGGCAGCAGCATCACCGCCACAATCATCATCACCATCACCATCAGCAGCAACATCATCATGCTTAGCAGCAGCATCATCGAAAGCATCAGCATTGACAGCATCATACTCGTCATCACCACCATGGCCATCATCATCATCATCATCGTCCTCCTCCTCATCGTCAGCATCCTCATCATCAGCAGCATCATCATGTTAATAGTAAGCATCCGTTCCACGATTCCCCCAGGCCTGGTAGCACGAGCCCGTACCCACTCGTACAGTCACCACCCAGAAAACTGGGATGGCACGATAGCAGAACTTGCCGCAGGCAGCTGGATATGAATATATATATATATATAAGAGAGAGAGAGAGAGAGAGAGAGAGAGAGAGAGATCCGACACCGTGCTTGCACAGAGTGGGCGTGTTAGAATGCTCAGCTGCTATCGTGGAGGTTCTGTACGGTGTCTCCCCACCGAGCCCGCGCGGGGTCTGCTGACCATCTCCCCTGAATTTGCGTGCCTCGGTCTGTTCGGCATCGACACGGCCAAGATGGTGTCCCCGACGACTTCCAAGACAGCTAAGATGACACCAACATGCTCAAGAGGATCCCAAGACGGCTACAAGACGGATGAAGAGGCCCCTAAGACGACCCAACAGGGCACAAAGAGGCCAGCTATGAGAGCCCGAGGAGGCAAAACACAATTGTTCTTTTGGTGCGTGAAAGATTGTGAGATTCTCGCCTTTTTGGGTTTCCGACCGCCCGAGAAGGCCCATGGAGCTTCCAAGATAGCTGTAAGACAGCCCTTGAGGTCCCCAAGAGAGCCCTGAGTCGGCCCAAGACGGCCTCAAAGCGCTCCAAGACGGCCCTAAAGCGCTCCAAGAGGGCACCAGGACGCCCCAGAGAGGCCATCAAGACATCCTCCGAATGCGTCCAAAGCGCCGACGCCTTCCTAAAACGAACCGAAGAGGCCCCAAGAGGCCCCCAAGAGGCCCCAGGAAGTGTCCAAGAGGTCCCCGAGAGGCTCCCCAGGAGGCTCCCAGGAGGCCCCCAGGAGGCCCCAAGAGGGTCCCAAGAAGCTTGCTCCTCCTCGTCCTCCTTCTCTCCCTCTCCTCCTCCTCCTCCTCCTCCGCCTCCTCCTCCTCATCTTCCTCGTCCTCCTCCTCCTCCTCCTCCTCTTCATCATCCCTACCGCGCGGACGAAGACGATGTCGGGATCATGAACGTCCCTAATTCAGACCGCTTGCTGAACTGCCGCGGAGTGTAAACTCGACCTCCTGCCTACCACGCGGACGAAGACGAGGTTGAGTTTACGACCCGTCCTTATCAGAGCATTCGTCGGAGTTACGCTGTTCCTGCATTCAGCCTCATTCCTGCAGCGCTGCTACACAGGCACGATGGCGAAGTTTGCCGCAGGCAGTTGGATATATTGTATCCGGTTCGCCCCCCCCCTCTCTCTCTATCTCTCGTTCTCTCTCTCTCTCTCTCTCTCTCTCTGTCAGTGTATGTATGTCTCTCTTTCTCTCTCTGTCCCTCGCTCTCGCTCTCTCTCTCTCTCTCTCTCTCTCTCTCTCTCCCTGTACATATAGACACATGTACACACGTACCTATATATATAGTATCGAGTATAAGGACTATGGAAACGAATACAAGGAGGAATAATAAGGGAATGGAGAAGCAGCGGACATTGGAAAGCATGAGGAGAATGAGAAACACCAGGTGGCAGTTGCAAATGAGGTGTGATAGCGGGTCGCTGTCGAACGCAAATGGGGTTGCCACACATTGCGATGCGTGTGGCGCAAAGGGAGTTTTCACACCTTGCGATTGCATTTGAAAAGAAGCTCCGAAGTCAATGTCTGGAGGAATGCCTCAAGCAAAAGTATCGGTGTAGAGAACTCGAGAATGACTCTGAGTACGTCGGGCCTCAATTGTGGGATCATCACGAGAAACTCGCATGTGTCAGATAACAATGTCCACAAGGATTGAAGCTCATGGTGTTTTGACGGCGTTATATGGAACTGCTGCAGACGCGATCTTTGTGCGGGGTGGGTGGGATGTTCGGACAAACGGCCACTGACATTGCGGACGCTTCACCAGAAATCATATCTGAGCTCTACTCCTTCGGAGATGTGCGCATGAGACTATAGGTATAGATACCTTTTGTTGTATCCTATATGTGTTAATCTACATATATGTGTGGAAGGGTGTGCGCTTGGTGGCGATATTCGGTGTCTACTTTGCCTGCACGCGTAAACAGTCGCGCCATCGCCCTGAGTCGACGGGCGCGCGTGGAATGTGCTCGATCTCCTCTTTACGCTGCCTCTGTCGGTGAACTGATGCCAAATGAGCCAGAGCGAGAGGGGCAGCAGTAGCAACGGCGGTGGCATCTGCAACAACCACAACGAGAGCAGCGACGGCAGCTACGGAACCGGGAGCATCAGCAGCAGCAGCAGCAGCAACAGCAGCAGCTGGTAGTGAGTTCTGAGCTGAATTCCCACCCTCGTCTGGTGTCCTGTGGCGCGAGGTTCGTGCCTTCCCCCGGTTCTCGTACGTGGCCAGGCTGCGGCTACAACGTCGTACGACATCGTCCAAACCCATGCTCCACTGGTTTCCGACGCGCCCTCACCAGGCCACCCACCCGACAGGAAAGCCAGCCGCCTGCGAGATGGGCACGCCGTTGATGGACGGCTCGCCTCGCGGCCACACCTTGAACGACATCGTCATCAGCGAACCTGTCGGAGGCGGGGAGAAGACGGCAAGGGAACTGCGCAGAAGGCACCTGTACGCCACCACTGCGCCTGGCCAGGGCCATCCTTGCCCCTGGTGCGGTGTGCACGCCCTTCTGGCCGAGGCCGAGGGGGTCTGTGCACCTTCCCCGCGGCCCGGGATGGCCCCGACCAGGCCCAGCGGTGGTGTACAGATGCAGCCTGCGGAGGGAGGGGGACGAGAGGGGACAGGAAGGAGGAAAGAGCATGGTGCGGCTGCACGCAAGAGTAACCCTAGGCAGGAGTGACCTTTGGTGCGCGGCTTAAGGAGGCGCAAGGTGGCCAAATGCAAGCGCGCAACCAGCCGCTATCGCATCGCGCTCAGCGATCGGGGGGACCCCGTTGAGCCCGCACCATTGGTCACTCCGGCGAAGGGTCACTCTTACGTGTAGTCGAATGGTGAAGAAGGGGGAGGATGAAGTGTGGGAGGGACGGGAGGGTAGGATAGCATAAGGTGGCGCCTCCTGGCGCCGGGAGGCGCCCATGCGTCGAGGAATGGGCCCGGCGGTGGGGCGGAAACCAGCTGCAAGCAACAAATTTCGTTCCCCCCCCCCTTTCCCTTTCCTTCCCTGTCGTCCGGCCCGAAAGTGGGGTGGAGGGAGGGGGGAAACGACGGGGAGGGAAGGCCGAGCGGCACGGGTGGATTGAGGCACGGAGAAAGCTCGAAGAGGGGAACGGGGGGGGGAGAGAGAGAGAGAGAGAGAGAGAGAGGCGAAGGCAAGCTGGGTGCGCTCGCGCCACATCTGACGTCCTATCTCCCTTCCTGACATCCTCTCTCATTGAGTATCCACGGACGCGTGTCATAACCAGCATGGAACTCCAACAAAAGGGCCCCATCGTGTTTTGCGTAATCGGGAAAGGCTTCGTTCGTCCTACATGTACCCCGTCTGTGCTTTGTTTCACAAGCTCGGCGTCTTGGAATTGATTTGTTTAGCGCTGTTGGGCCCCAACAACCAACACTGCAACAGCTAGGTCTTCATCGTGTTTGCGTTTCTAGCCAATTTGTTCAGCGTTTCCAGATCAGCTGATTGCGTTATTTAACTGTCCGTCTACGACGTCCTCAGTTCATACCATTGCGCCTGGTCCCTCCCTTTACTCTACCATTATGACCTTATCGTTATTGGTGTGCTCTTCTCCTGCCGTCGCTGCTGGCTGGCCGAGAGGCCTCTGGGCCTGTTTCGCGCCGGTGTTAGACCAGTGTTGGGCGTTTTGCTAGCGTTTGTTGATCTGCGCGCGCGGCGGGAGGAACGGGAGGCAGCACGAGTGGGAGAGCAAGGGCGAAGACGGCAGGGAAGAAAAGGAGCAGCCCTCAGCAAGAAAGCAAGAAACGCAAACGAAAACAATGATGCACAGCGACTGGCCTCACAACGCCCACAAAAACGACCTCAAAACAAGAAACGTCGCGTTGTTCAAGCGTTGTTGGCAAGTCAAAAGCCCAAAACACAAAGCGGTTAGAAAAACGCCCAAGGCGTTTCAGGGTGAAACAAAGGAAAAGGGGTGCCGCGTACATAGGAGGAGGTGACGGGTGAGCAGGAGAATGAGCAGGAGGAAAAGGAGGAGGACGTGGAACGAGGAGGACGAGAACGCACAGCAGCAGCAGGAATTGGAGTGTAAAGCGCGGGAGGAGCAGGAGGACCAGGGAAAGGCAGAGGAAGAGAAATGAAGAGGGCGACAACGATGAAAAAGGACTCGGATCCAGAAAAGCGGCCCACGCAGGGGCGAGAGCGCCACTCTGAACAACGGGATCAAAGCGCCGATCCGAAAATAAGGCCCACGCTGCAGCGAGAGCACCATTTTGAAGACACCGAAAGCAATCGGATCGAAAACGCAATGAGAAGAATCAGTGCTTGAAGTCCTGCGCAAAAACCCCAGACGCGACGAGGAACGGCCATCCTCTGGGCGCAGCGTGTCCCTGCACAGAGGAGAGCAGCGGCGCCGTGTGCACGCAAAAGGCGCCACGGACACGGCACCTCGCACACGGCGCACGACGACGCAAACGGCACCACCGCACGCTCTTCGCCACACTCGCACGGCACACACGGCACGCGGCACCGCGCCCCCGGAACCGCACCGTGGCACCGCGCCCTCGCCGAGCGGGGCAGACGATATATAGCAGCCTGCGAGCCCGCCGCACGGCGCCCCTCGGTGGGCGACGAAACGGTACGGGAGAGTACTACTCTCCCGTACAATCGAGAACTAGAAATGTACGCAGGGATCGAGTACTCTCCTCGAGTACTCTCGAGTACGCGAAATTGTACGGGAGAGTACTCCAGATTTCGTAATAAAAGTGAGGGGGTCTGGACCCGCCAAGACAAGCCATTTCAGACCCCCCCCCGTGGGAGAACCCTCCAAAACACCGTCCCCAGACCCCCCCAGGCCCTCCGAGATAACCTGGAAGAGACCCCCCCCGAAATGAGACCCCTGTCCCTTTATTACGAAATCTGGGGTACTCTCCGAGAGCAGCCCGATCGAGAACCAGACATGTACGCAGGGACTCCGGGAGGCCAAAAGCCTGGGGAGAGCAGGGCGGCACGCCGCCGCCGGCCTGGCCTCGGGCCGTCCTGCGCACTGTGCCACCCCCTGCGGTCAGCACCAAGACGGCCGCGGGCCATCTTGCTCCGTTGACCCAGCCGCACCGGCGCTTGGCCAGGGCGGACCCAGGTCGTCTTACTCCGGAGACGGGGCGACTGAGTTGCAGCCGTGGCCGTGTTGCGCTGCTTTTGTTGGCCGCGGTGGCGGGACCAAGAGACATCCGCGACCGTGCCGTCGGCACGCAGTGGGGTGCCCCAGGGCTCATGCAGCTCTGCGAAACAGAGGGTGTGCGTGGTTCTTAAAGGCCCGAACCCACGGTCTCCCCGGAGCACCGGGGCGCTACTGCGCCCTCGTGGGATGCGCCACCTGGGCCTGTGGGACGCCACAAGAGCCCCGAGACGGGCCAAGAGGACCCCAAGAGGCCCCCAAGACGGTCGAAGAGGATACCGAGTCGTCGAACGATCGGTCCAAGACGCCCAGTATGGCCTCCAGACGGCCGCAGATGCCGCCAAGACGCCTGCAAGACGCCTCCTCCTCCTCCTCCTCCTCCTCGTCCTCCCTCCTCCTCCGCCTCGTCCTCCTCCTCCTGACGGACCCATTCCACTCGAAGAGAGACGGGCCAGGCACTTCTGTCCGTCGCGCCGTCGCGCTGCTCGCGGTGCGCGCCCTGGCCCTCGCTCGGGGGTTCCAAGTCGGCGAAGGCCGCGGCGAGTGATGGGGCCGAGGTGAGCTTTGGTCCCAGGCCTACTGCAGGAGTGGCGGTCGATTTAACTATAGATCGCACCAGCGATCTCACGATCCATCTCATTATCGATCTCACTGAATCGACTTCACTATCGGTCTCACGATCGGCCTTCCTATTGCCCTCACTGTCGATCCCACATTCAATCTCACTATCGATCCTACAATCGATCTCAATGTCCACATCACTAATTTTCAAACCAACCACTGATTGGGCACCCAGCTCCACGTGGCTGGATGCTCCCAGCCATGCAGGTGAAAATGGTCTCACTTGAATTCTGATTCGATCCTCAGAGCCGGGGTGTCTGGCCACCAACAAAGTCTAGGGTTCTGGCCACCCACAGGCAAGGAATTCATGTCGCCGCCAAGATCATTTGGACGCCCGAAATGGATACCAAAAAATGGGTACAATGCCCAACACATCTTGCCCCAAACCGACAACGGCCGCTGTTGGGCAGGCGGCTTGTTGTCTTTAATGAACAAGGTCCGCGGCGTCGCGGACAGCGAGTCCTGTTTAGAATGAACAGGAACTGCTGTTGGGCATCGTACCCTTCCCGAAATCATTTTGGGGGAAGGGACTCGCCGCAACAGAATTCTGGCCATCTGGTCCCGCCTTGCATGCCGGGAGTTCCAACCGCCCACAGACCCCCACTTTCAACATCTTGAGGTGTCAAAGCATTGTTCACGATTTCGGCATCTGGAACCGTTTCGGGCTCCAAGACGATCAACAAAACTATCACGGAAAAACCATGGCGCGCCGCAGGGACAGCTGCCAACGCCTGCCATTCACAGGACCAGTGGCCTGACGGACTGGCATGTGCGCGCTGTCGCCTGCTCGCTCGTAGATCCAGGTGAGTGGGCCAAAGAGGGAAAAAATGCCGCACGGTGCCATGGCAAGTCAACGCACTGGCAGTTGCGAGGACGCGGCTGGAGATTGAGGATGAGGACGAGACAGACGAAGAGGAGTGGCAGTTGGAGGCGCGCGGAGCGTTGCGGAGGTGGCGACCTTCGGAGAAGGCAGGGGGTCTGCTCAGAACGGATCGGAGACTGCTTCTATAGAGCGGGAAAGATGTCATGATAACATTGGCTCAAGATACGTTGCAGGACTTCCAGAGCATCTAGCAGCTTAGCTTCTGAGAGGAAAAAACAACGGCATACACGTAAACTTTTGATGGCCCACGCGGATTTCTTGGATCTGAGCTGAACCCCCTCTCCCTGGCGCGCCCAGCGCACCAGGGGCGGCGCCAGAGGCGCCGCCGGGGGGGCCCCAGCGCGGATCCAAGAAATCCGCTCGGACAGTCGAAACTCTATGTTAATGCCGTTTTTCTTCTTCGAACTGCCAGGCATTGAACATGCATAGACTCTGGCGGTAGGAGAGGAGGACGAGCGGAAGGAGCAACGGAGGGAAAGCCAGCGCCGTCGCGAGCGCCCTGACTGCACAGCCGTCCGTCTCGGAGAGGCTGGGGCCCTGCATCCAGCACCGCGGCGCCACTGCGGCGCCGCATCAGGGCAGCGAGCAAGCTGGAAGCGCGCCACGGGTCAGGCAAGCCAAGCACCGAGAGCAGGTCTGGACATGGTGGGGCAGAGCCGCTCGCTGCGCTGGGCGTCGGTGGGGCAACAGCACATGAGAGAAGACTGGGGAGAACCCCAAAAAAAACGGCATGAACATAAACGTTTGGAGGTCCGCGCGGATTTCTTCGATCTGGGCTAGAAGCCCCTCTCCCTGGCGCGCGGAACGCGCCAGGAGCGGCGCCGGAGGCGCCGCCTGGGGGCCCCAGCGCGGATTCAAGAAATCCGCGCGGACCGTCGAAAGTTTGTCCTCATGCCGTTTTTTGTCCTTCGGAAGAGATCACCGGCGCCCCGAGGAAGGAGCGGCGGCGGCGGCGGCGGCGGCGGCGAGATCGGCAGCGGACCGTCGATGCTCTGGAACATGCGGTTGCTGTACATGGCCGCCACGGGCACTTTGCCTGCGGGAGCAGGTCAGCAAGGGGAGAGATCAGAGAGAGAGAGGGCGAGAGGGAGAGAGGGAGAGAGGGAGAGGACAAGCGCGAGGACGAACCGCATCAGCGGGAACAGGAGTGGAATGAGCGGGAGGAGCCGGAAGACCAGGGGAACGCGGAGGAGGGGAAAGAAGGGAGGCGACAGCGATGAGGAAGGACTCGGATCCAGAAAAGTGGCCTAGGGCGAGAGCGCCATTCAGAACGACGGGAGCAAAGCGCCGATCCAAAAATGAGGCCCGCGCGGCAGCGGGGTCACCATCTTGAAACACCGACCAACAATCGGATTGAAAGAAACAGGCAAGACAACTGTTGTCAAATACTATGTAAATAAAAGAGAGGGCGAGGCATCTTCCTGACAGGGCCAAGGGTGAGAGGAGAGTAGCATACAGACTGTTATTGTCGAAAGATGAAGACAGAGCGGGGGGGCGGGAGGAGAAAGAACGAGGGCGAGGGAGGGAGAAAGACAGGGGGCGGAGGAGGAGGAGAGAGGAGAGGAAGGACGAGGGGGAAGGGGGAGAGGGGGAGGGAGGGAGGAGGAGGAGGAGGAGGAGGAGGAGGAGGGAGGAGGGAGGAGGGAGGAGGGAGGAGGGAGGAGGAGGGAGTGAGCAGGAGAAGCGGGAAAAGAGAGGATGCGCAGAAGCCGTTCCTACGCCGCCACCATGCCTGGCCAGGACCATCATAGGCACTGGCATGGTGTATGTGAGCTCCTGGCCGGGGCCAGGAAGAGAGTATGCACACCATCGTCGGTTGAACCTGCGACAACGACGGCGGCGACCAACCGCGACCGTGACCGTGACCGCGACGGCGACGGCGACGGCGACAGCGTGGTCGGACACAGCGACCACCCCGCGCGGCTGCCTTGGCAGACGTGACACCGCAAGATCGCTTCCAGGTCGGGGTGCTCAAGCAGCGCCTGCCGGGGCCAACACCACCCATCTGGCCTTCACGACGGGTGAAGGGAGGGGGCGGGGCAAGGAGGTATCAAGAAAGGGGGGAGGGAAGAGGGAGGAGGGAGGTGGCAGGAGGGAAGATGGAGGAGGACGGAAAGTGGGGAGGCGGACAGAACGGAGCGGGCGGGAGGGGAGGGCGGAAAGGGGAGGGGGAGAGGGACGGGAGACGGAGGGAAGGAGACGGGCGGGGGGAGGTAGAGGAGGGAGGGGGGGAGGGAGGGGGCGAGGGGAAGGAGGAGAGGAAGTAGGCGGAAAATGGAGGACGTGGGGGGGAGGAAAAGGAATGTCTCTCTCTCTCTCTCTTCTCTATCCCTCTCTCTCCCTCTCTCTGTCTCACACACACCAGACTGTATGTGGTTGCCTGTCCTGTGTGTTCTTCCATCGGAACGTATTTGTGTTTTCCAGAATGGTGTTGCCGCTGGAGCGTTCGCCACATTTAGGGATCGGTGCTTTGCTCCCGTCGCTGAGAATGGGGTTCTCACTCCAGCTCGGGCCACACTTATCGGCCCGATTACTGTTTTGTCGCTGACAAAGGCCCCCCCTTGCCAATTGCGCAGTGGCTGAGTGGTCAAATCCTGCGACTGCCATCTGGAAAGTAAGCTCCTCTGGAGCACACCAGCCGTCAGATAGAGAAGGACTCAACGCACTGGGAAGGGATGGGATTCGGGAAGTTTCGGGTTGGGCTCGAATAGAACAACCTCCCTACCCCCCAAAACAAATCCTGACAGCTTTTTGTTAAGGGCGAAAGGTCTGGGGGGGACCTCCCCCCCCGACCCTCCCCCTGTTGAAAAAGTTCTATACGTGGGATGTGGGAAGTGATCGGGAGGACCTCCACCTTAGCCCCCAAAACCTGGAGGCCACTAAAAAACTGCACTGATGTTTCTTTTGTTTGCGAGCCTGGGGAGGGAGACCCCTCCATAGGGGGAACCCCTACCCCCCAGAAAAAAAACAGGGGTCGCGGGGAAACCCCTCCCCCCCTCCGCCCGCCCCCCCCCCCCCCCAAAAAAATGTAAAACCAAACCAAAAGCATGTGGATGTTTGGTGGGGCTCCGGCCGGGACCCCCCCTTACTCTTAGGTCGGACACGTCCTCCTACAGGCGGATTTTGAAGAAAAACGTAAATTGTGGACAGATACCACAGAACAGTCAAAGTCGCACGAGAAACTCGTCCCCTGGCATTGTTGTTCTATTCTTGAATATTCTTCCTGTTGAGGGACACGCCCGACCTAACCTGACTCCCCCCCAAAGACCCCCCCCCGATTAGGTTTTGGAAGGGTTCGGGAGGAGGGGGGGGAGGCCAACCCCGCCCAACAAAACACCCTTTCAAGAAAGGCTGTGAGGGCGGGGGGGGAACTCCCCCCCCCTCCCCCTAAGGAAAGATTTGGGGGGGGATTCAGGAGGAAGAAAACCGCCCCCTTCCCCCCCCCCAAAAAAAAAACACCCTCAAAACAAAAAACCTTGAATGAGGTTGTTGGGGAAGATTTGGGGGGGATCAGGAGGAAGAAAACCGCCCCATCCCCCCAAAAAAAACAAAAAGAAAACACCCTCAGAACAAAAAACCTTGAGGTTGTTGGGGGGTTCGGGGGGGAACCTTCCTGGCCCACCACAAAACAACCCCTGAGAGTTGTTTTGAAAGGTGTCGGGGGGGGGCTCCTAACCCCTCAGGAAAACAAAAAAACTACACATGATTTGCTGGGGTGGTCCAAGAGGGGACCCCCCCCGCCCACCCCCGCCCAAAAACAACTGAATGGGTGTTTTGGTGGGGGGTCAGGGGGGGAAGGAAAAACAAACGAACAAAAACTGATCGAGGGAGGTGGGGGGGGAGCCTGGGGAGGGGACCCCCATAGCACCCCCCCAGTGAAGGGCGGGTCAACCCCCCAATCTCCCAAAGAACCCTCCTCGAAGAAAGTTGCTGGTGGCTCCAAGGGAGGGGGGACTTCCTAACCCCCATGAAGAAACTCTCTGAGGGGTGACAGGATTCGGGGATCTCTGAAATCCAGCGGTTCTGGCGGATGTACCAGGCGCATCCGCGGCCTTCTCGAAGCGTTCGGGAACGCCCTGAGAGCGTTCTGGAAGGCTCCGAAACGATTCATCCCTGTCTTATCCCCGCCCCATCTACAGGGAGAAAAGCGGCACACGAATGAACTCTCGACGGTCCGCGCGGATTGCGCCAGAGGCGCCGCCGAGGGGGTCCCATCGCAGATTCAAGAAATCCGCGCGGAGCGCCAAAAAGCTATGTTTACACAGTGTGTGTGTTTTTTCTGGTACGGAAAGAACAGGCACAAAGACCGACAGCATTTCCTGTTCATTTTGGGCAGGACGCACTGTCAGTGTCGATGCGGACGTTGTCCACTTGAGACGGAAGGCCGCCTGCCCGACATCGGCCGTTGTCGGTTTTGGACAACATCTGCTGCTGAGTAAGGCCTCGTGGCTGGGGCCCGAGTAGATGGGGTCAGAGGATCGCGCCGCGTCGCCGATGCATCGAGGACCGGCGACGCACTGGCGACGTCGGCTGTGCATCGGCGACGTCGACGTGAAGCAAATTGGGCCCCACATCGAGCCGCATCGCCAATACTTCGCCGATGCGTCGAAGATGCGGCGCGCTCCTCCTCCTCCTCCTCCTCCTCCTCCTCCTCCTCCTCCTCCTCCTCCTCCTCCTCCTCCTCTCCTCCTCCTCCTCCTCCTCCTCCTCCTCTCCTCCTCGTCCTCCCCCTCCTTATCCTCCTCCTCCTCCTCCTGCCCCTCTTGCTCCTCCTCCTTATCCTCCTCCTCCTCCTCCTCCTCCTGATCCTCCTCCTCCTCTTCCTCTTCCTCCTCTTCCTCTATATCTTGTTCGCATTGATATGAGTTGTGTTACTATTTTTAGTACGACGAGTAGTATTAGTATTATTATTATTACTATTATTATTATTATTATTATTATTATTATTATTAGTATTATTATTGTTATTATTATTAGTATTATTATTATTATTATTAGTACTATTATTATTATGATTATTATTATTATGATTAGTCTGATTATTATTATTAGTATTACTACTACTACTACTACTACTACTACTACTACTACTACTATTACTACTACTACTACTCTGAATATTACTAATATTATTATTACTAGTATCAGTATTAGTATTAGTATTAACATTAATATTATTATTATTATTAGTATCATTAATCGTAGTAGTAGTAGTAGTAGTAGTAGTAGTAGTAGTAGTATTAGTATTAGTATTATTAGTATTAGTGTTAGTAGTATGACCATTATTATTATTAGTTTTATTATTATTATTGTTAGTACTATTACTATTATTAATATTATTATTATCATTATTATCATTAGTAGTAGTCGTCGTCGTATTATTAATCGCATTAGTAGTATTATAATTAACATTAGTGATACTATCACTCGTAGTATTAGTACTATTACTATTAGTAGTAGCACTCTTCTTATACATAGTACGATTAGTACGCCTTCATGCTCAATAATAATACTAAAAGTATTCATATGATTCGTATGATTCGTCTTCATTTGATTAGTAGAATTAGCTAAATGCGTATTAGTATTAGCAGTCGTATTAGTAGTGTTATCAGTATGATTAATAATATGGTTGGTAGCAGTAATACTATTATTATTAATAACAAATTCCCTCGGCGCAGCGCCGCGCCAGCAAAGGGCACAGACGTCTTGGCGCGGCGGACAGGACGGTCGGGCTCGCGGCGTAGGGCGACCCCATGGTGCACCCCGCACGCCGCCCGACCCCACAGATTCCCCCTGACAAGCCCCCCCCCCAAAAGCCGAGAGGCCAAAGGGTGGTGAGGGTGGGGAAAAGGGAAGCCCGCAGGCGCGTGGGCCCCCGCAGGGGCCCGCCTGCCATGCGACACACAATCTGCGGCCGCAAGCGCGTGGGCCCCTTCGGGGACCCGCCTGCTCCTGGCCCTCGCAGGCCCCTTGGGCCCCCGCAGGGACCCGTCTGCCCTTCGGCCGTCACTTGCTATCCCGCCACGGACCCGGGCGGACGGCGGGCACGGGCCGCCGCCGAGAAGCACGGCGGCCCACCCGAGACTCGAAACCGACAGACGAGGCAGCAGCACTACAGCCCTGGCGAGCAGCGCGAGGCTCGGGGAAGCGAAAGAGCGACTGAGTCAAGAGCGCCAGGCTCGGAGGAGCGAAAGAGCGATTGAGTGACAGAGGTACGGAGGTAGTCGAACGCGGGACGGCACCAGGAATTTATACGCCTGCCAAACCTCCGATTTACAAGGTCTATAAATTCCCTCGGTGCAGCGCCGCGCCAGCAAAGGGCACAGACGTCATGGCGCGGCGGACAGGACGGTCGGGCTCGCGGCGCAGGGCGGCCCCATGGTGCACCCCGCACGCCGACCCAACGCACGCCCAGCCGCAGCCCGCCGTGCCAGCCGGCGCACACTCCCCCCATAGCTCTGCCCCGCTCTGTCCCTCGCACCCCAACGCATGCGTCGTGCGCACGGCATCGCTGAGGCCCCTTCGCTGGGAGTCGGAGCTGTCCGACACCCTCTATCCAGGCTCCTCCCCCTCTCTCCCCCTCGGAGCTGTCCGAATGCCCAATGGCCTCCTCCGCCGCCAAAGTCTCGCTCATGGCCCCGGATGACGGGCACGCCCAGGCCGCCACGCTGCGCCACCCGCCCTGAGCGAACATGGCCGCCAGGGCCTGCGACCTGAGCACCTCGTCGGCCCTGCCCCTGCGGAAAGCATGGGTACCCCATTCCGCCGCGCGCGGCAGTGCCAGCGCCATTGCAGCTAGCTTTAACAGCGACAGTGAAACCGCGCATGTCAGGCCCGGGAACACAAGCGACCCAGCGCGCGACGCCCTGCGGCGCAGCACACAGACCCCGCAGAGGCGCCGCCCCTGGATGTCGCACACACACACACACACACACACACACACTTCCGCCACAATTGCTCGGGCTCCCTGCGGCATTTGCGCAGTGCCAAAGTCATACAGGCGCCTCTCTTGCCGGCCTGCGACGCGGAACGGGACGGCGCGCGCGCGTCCCCCCACCCCCCCGTGCCCGCGGCCGCCGGGGATGCCTCCTCGAATGTCGACACCGCCGAGTGGCCGTTGCCATTCAGGCCGACGGCTTCCGCCCCAAACCTTAAGCAGAACTGCCTAGGGCACGAAGAGCACCGACGGGAAGGAACCCGGCCCTCCCCACTCTGAACGCGCGCGCAGGCCTGGCTACAAGGAAAAAATCAGCCACGTCGTCGCGCCCAGTTTCATGCCGGACCAACGCCGCCAGCTCGCGCGTCTGTTCCGCACTCGCCCTGGCGCGATACCGCCGCACCGCCCGGTCCTCGCATTTCTGCGCTCCCTTCACGATGCCTCCCATGGCGTCCAGCACCCCCGCGGGGGCGCGGAGAAGGCGCAGCACTGACCAGATCCTCGAAGCGTACTGCGACAGCGTCGCTGCCGACCGGCACACGGTGATCAAAACCTCGAGCGCAGGCCCGCTCTGCGGCCAAGGCTCGACCCCCGCCGCCCTGCGCGCTCGCGCGGCGGGCACGCGCGTTGCGGGCGGCGCGACTGCACCCCCCCTTTATTACAGGACCTGCAGCACAATCCCCAGCACGCCACTGATGAGGCGTACTGGGCCGCAGTCTTGCGCCATTGGCCCATCTCTACCCACACGGCGGTAAGGCCACACGGCGTTCCTCCTCCTCCTCCTCCTCCTCCTCCTCCTCTTCGTCCTCCTCCTCCTCCTCCTCCTCCTCCTCCTCCTCCTCCTGCCCCTCCTCCTCCTCTTGCTCCTCCTCCTCCTCCTCATGATCCTCCTCCTCCTCTTCCTCTTCCTCCTCGTCCTCCATTTCTTGTTCGCATTGATACTCGTTTTTGTTATATTATTTGTATGACTAGTATTATTAGTAGTAGTAGCATTATTACTAGCATTCGTATAAGTATTAGTAGTATTAGTCGTATTATTATTACTCGAAGTATTCGTACTATTATTATTAGTAGCAGTCTTCTTATAATTAGTATGACTAGTACGTATTCCTTCTTATTAATAATGCTATAAGTATTCATATGATTCGTACGATCCTTCTTCATTTCATCAGCGGAATTAGCTATATGAGTATTATTATTAGCAGTCGTGTTATTAGTGTTATTAGTATTATTAGTAGTATGATTGGCAGCAATAAAACTATCATTATCGATAACAATATCAGCACGATTATTCCCACTAGTATTAGTATATTACGTATTACTAGTAGTGCTAACATTCTTCTTACTAAAATCTTAATGTTGTTACTATTGTTAATTATGCTTAGTATTCGTAGTACTCGTTTTATCATTCCAATAATACCTATTACTAGTTTTCGTCTGATTGCGGCTCTGATTATTATTGCTGGTAATCGTCTTCCACTTATTCTGATTAGAAGGATTCCTGTTATTAGTCGGTTTACTATTACTAGTGGTATTAGCATGACTGTTGTTATTATTACTATTAATCATACCATTTGTAGTGTTAGTATTCTTGTTACTCGTAGTACTATTAGTATTATTAATATTACTATGTATTACCACTACTACTATTATTATAATGATTATTAGTATTCTTATGATTACGAGTATGGTTATTATTAGTGGTATTATTATTCGTATTATCATTATGATTATTATTATTAGTATTAGTATCATTAGTAGTAGTCGTAGTAGTAGTAGTAGTAGTAGTAGTAGTCGTAGTAGTAGAAGTAGTAGTAGTAGTAGTAGTAGTAGTAGTAGTCGTAGTCGTAGTCGTAGTAGTAGTAGTAGTAGTAGTAGTAGTAGTAGTAGTAGTAGTAACATTCTTGTCGTTATGATTATTATTATCATTGACTTCTTCCTCCTCCTCCTCCTCCTCCTCCTCCTCCTCCTCCTCCTCCTCGTCCTTCCTCTTCCGATCCTCCGCCCCCATCTAGGAAGCATAGAAAACAAGGCCCTCCCCGCAAGGACGCCCCCCACCCCGCGGGCCCCGCCTGCACCGGGTCGGGCGCGCCCGCGACGAGCGCCAGCAGGGCCTCTTCGGGGGGGGAAGGGCCCCCCCGCGCGGCGGGACCCTCTTGGCGGCCTCGACGCGCACGCAGCGGCGCGCCTCTCGAGGCGCGCCTCGGAGGCGGGGCGGCGGGGCTGCCGCTGCTGTGCCTCGGGGGCCCAGGGCCCCTCGAGTCGTGGAAAAATCACGGCGGGAGGTGTTTCTCCATGTGGGGTCTCTGGGGGCCGTCGCCAGACCTCGGGACCGTCAAAACACGATGCAGGATGAAAAACCAATCCCAGGGCATAGGTCAAGACCTCAAGATTCGACGTTTTTTAGATGTAAAAAATCAGGTCAGGGATCCGAGGGTGAAAGACAGCGATACGGGGGGGGACTGGCACAGGTCGGCGGAGAGCGAGGGGTGGAAGCGAGGAGAAGGCCTTGTCAGAAGGCGGCGGGACTTCGCAGAGGCCTTCGCGCCTCATAGAGAAGTTCTCCGCACCTTGGGGGAGGCTCAAAAAAATCCTCTCGGGAGGCCGAAGGACTTCCGAGCCTTCTGAGAAGGCCCGCCCCCCCTCACTTCCGTCCCAGGCGCGCCGCCGACTGGAATCGGAGATACATAGCCCATAGATCGGCGACCGGCCTCCGATAGCGGATCCGAACGTTCCTGGGCGGGGTGGGGCGATCAGGCCCCCATCGGCGATCAATGGACCATTTGGGGTCGATGCACCCAATGCCTATCCCTACCTAGCGTTGCCCCCGAGAGGGATGGGCGACGGGGCACCGTCTTCTTCGTCGCGGCCGTTCCCCTTCGATGAGCACAACGTTCGGGACTGTCTGCTGCAAGTGGGGTCAACGTGTCCTGTTTTCGCCCCGCGGGTCTTTCCGCAAGGTTAGCCGGATCGTCCTGCAAGGCGCCCCGTCTTACCTGCAGGTCGTTATGCAGCCTCGAACGTTGAGTTGCCAGGTTTTGGCAATCACGATGGTCAACGTTTTTTCCTGCGCAAGCGCCAAGGGAACGGTGGCAGTGTCACGAAGCAGTCTATCAGTTCGGCCACCTCGAGTGGAAGCGTGGCGCGCGAGTGAACAGCAAGCTGTCGGCGTGGAAAACACGCCGAGCTCTCTCGTGAAAAGCATGCTGGCATTCGAGCGACAGCGTGGACACACGCTGCCTGCCAACGGTATGCGCTCGCAGCTTGCAAGTAATATGTCGCGATTATGCGTGCGCCTCTCTTGCACAGCTGCCACCCTCCTCCTCGCCTCCGTCCTCCGCGGCCTTGATGCCGACCTCCTCGTAGTCTCCAGCGCCGCCAGGTCCTCGCGAGCCTCGGAGACCTCACCCTCCTCCACGCCCTCGCCCACGTACCAATGCACGAAAGCGCGCTTCGAACACATGAGGTCCAACTTGCGGTCGACGCGGGAGAAAACCTCTGCGATGGCTGCGGAGTTGCTGATCACGCAACTAGCACACATCACCTTGGCCAGGTCACGCTGGGAACCACAGTATGAGGCTGGTAGTTGATACCGGACTTGAAACCCGCGGGCCACCAATCTCCTTCCCTGCCCGAGCTGAATCGGCAGAAAGCCGACCACTTCGCGGCCCGCAGCGGCTCATCCAATGCCTGTTTTGGGGAACCTCGACGAGTGCGGCACCTCCACCCTGCGGCGCTTTGCGGGCCTGTCCTGGGCTGCGCGGGCAGCCTCTTGGGTCGGCGACGCACGCTTTTGCCCTCGGCCACAAGGCGCGCGCACTGCAGCCTCGAAGCGCGCTCTTAAACCAAGGGCACTATGGACATGCACTTGCAGCACTTCCAACGCAGATTCCCCGGCTCGAAGACGACGTCATGGCTCCTAGCCTCTGGGGCGCCAATGCACAGACATAAGCACCTGCCAGGGCCGCGCCGCGGCCTCGGGTCGGCCCTCCGGGGGGCATCTCGTCTCCACTGCGTGCTGGATCTGTTGCGGGGCGCGCATCCCGTAGATCCCACATCTGGATTTTGCAACAGTTCGGAGCAGGCCAGGAGCTGCAACGGCGAAACACCGCAACGGTCCGCACATGGGCACCCCTGTAGGCCGGAGCTTTGCAAGGCGATACCACATGTAGGTCGGCTGGCCCACCCGCCCGTCAGGCTGCGCCCCGCGGGCCAGATGAAGTCCCTGCACGTCTTCGAACGAGACGCGCACAAGCCCCCCTTTCCGAGGATCCCGGACGTGGGAGAAACCCGGGCACCGCGTCAGCAGCGGCCCCGATCTGGAGATAGCCCGTCTTCGAAGCGCTCCTCCAGCCCAGAGCCGCGCCCGCCAGAGCCTCGTTTGCCGCGTCAACCACGCGCCGCCGGCGCCCTTCCACCCCGGAGGATAGCCCGCGAAACAAACCTCTGGCGAAGCCGGAGGGGGCGGGGGAGGCTGCCACACCGCCGCGGGATCGTTCCCGACCCCCGCCGAGCTTTCGCAGGAGGTAGAGGTTGGCCTTAAAACTGAGCAGGCCCCCTGGACCTCTGAAACCGTCGCGAAGTCCCCCCCGCCCCTGTTGCCAGGAACGTCTACTGGCAGCCGTAGGCGAAACCTACGAAGGGAGCCCAATCCGCAAACTGAACAGCACGCTTGGTCTCGATAGTAGCGACCGCTGCGCTCACATCCTTGGGCACGACGCTTCCACGTCACATCGTGCAGCATGCATGCAAGCTCGGAGCGCCAAGGCCTCGCAGGCCGCCCCCGGCACAGCATTGCCGCCCTCGCGGCTGGACTCTCGGCGCGTCAGCCAGGCCGCCGCAAGCAGCATGGGTCGGCAGGCGGGCAGACAGACTCGCAAGCGGTCGCACGGCGTTCTGGAGCTCACGGGGCAACGCGGCCTGCCGACGCCGACCCCGAGGGGGCGCAGGCCCCGCTGGCGGCCTCCGCGGAGGCCCCAGAGCCCACGAAGCCGGCTGCCTGGACCCGCGTCGCGAGGGAATGTCCACGCCCTCGGGAGAAGAAGCACGCAACGACGACGACCAGGAAGACTGGCGAGGAAGCGGGGCCGCACACCGCATCTGCCACTCCCGCGAGCGGCAGCGCCCGACACCAGGGCGCGGCCCACGGGGGGGAGGGGGGGCCACCAGCACGGCCCGAAGGAGCGGGAAGGGCGAGAGGAGGGGGAAGGGACGAGACGACCAGCCAGTTTTCCAAGCCGCGCCCGGCCGCGGCGACGAGAGGGGGGCGACAGACGAAGCGAGACAAGACGAGACAGGACGGCACGACAGCATCTAAGGGGACCTCCGCGCCAACTTGACAAATCAATATGCCCTTCGACAGGTGACTCTGGGAAGAATGACAAATCGATATGCCCCTCGGCACCGGACAAAGAAGAACCCGCAAATTCTGGAACACCCGCCCTCTGACGCACATGGCCAGCGGCGCTCGCACGCAACTCGCTCCATCAGCGGGCCCCGGGCAGGGCGCGCAGGGGAGGGGGAGAGGGAAGGGGGGCGGAAGCCTCCGCTGCAGGACGCGCGGGGAATGAAGTAGCGAAACGATATATGAATATGCCTCTCGGCATCTGACAATGACAAATCTACGTGCCCTTCTGCACTGACATCAGGAGCGCGCGAACTCTGGACGACCAGCTCCTCTGGCGCCCACCGTCAGAGGCGCACTCGCTCTGGAATCGCGACGCGTCGCTGGCGCCTGGGCCGGGCCTCCGCGGACCCGCCCCTCAGGCCCAGCAATCATTTGACTGCGGGGCCGCCCTGCGAGCGCTGGCCCGCCACGAAGAGCTTCTCGCACTTGATCGACTTCACGATCCAAAGGGCCGGGTGGCACTCCGCGGGGACCGTCGGACATAAGAAACGCCCGCACCCACGGCTTGCCCTCTGCCGGCTTGTCGCGGCGCGGATTCACCCTGGAAACGATGCCATCCACGACCTTCTTCGTCAGTTTCGAGATCTTGCCCTGCCCCCCTGGCCACGGCGCTGTCCACGGATACCTTCTCCAAGCGCATCTCGAAGAGGAGCCGGTGAATGAGCGCGCGCCGGTAGCCCAATGGGCAGGGCCAGTGGCCAGAATCCTCGCCCATGCCCTCATTGCCCGCCCTCTTCTGGCAAAGACCCCGCCTGCGCCAGCTGCCCCCCGCCGTCTCGACGTGGCCTTTCAGACTGGCATCCTTGGCCACCAGAACGAACGACGAACGGTCGAGGAGGTCTCCCAGAACTCTCTCGCGGGCAGTAGACACGGGGATGATGCCCTCAACAAGGATGGCCCGCTCACTCTTGCCCATGCCCTCGCCGCCCTTGCCGCCCCCCTCGGGGCCCGCGTCGGCCGCCGGAGCCGCGCCCGCAGATGCGCCCTGCGAAGCCTGCGCAGCCTGGAGGACGCCCGCGCCGCCACGCAAAGGAAGCCGCCCAGCACGAGCCCACGGATGGCCAGCATACAAGTTCGGGCTCACGAACCGACAACGAACGGCACGACGAAAGTGACGGCGATGGCAGCGAGCCCCTGGCGACAGAAGATCCAAAATAATATGCAAGAAAATGCGCAAATACAAATGCCTCACTGAGATGCGTAGACAGGTGTTTGCTGCGTCCTCTTTCCCCCCCATATCTCCCCCTCGTCCTCAGACAGGCGCTTGCTGCGGCCTCTTCCTCCTCCTCGTCCTCAGACAGGCGCTTGCTGCGTCCTCGCCCTTGCGCGGCAGATAACGCGCTCGGCAATGGTCAGCGCAATGAGTGCGAGGCGAACTGGGCCCCTGTGCACGCGATCCCACGCACGTCGCAGATGGCGCCATTGCCCAGAGCGCACACGCCGCCCCCCGCATTCCTTCTCGCGCGCAACCACTTATTTGACACTAGGGAAAGACATGCCGCCAAGGAACCAGTTACAGGTCCACGAAGCCCGAACACTCATCTGGAAAATCCCAGCGCCGCTCGGACCCCACGCACGAGTGCCACGCGGCGCGCGCGGCAGCGGCGCACGCGCAGCGGCGGAAACTTCCTACCACCAGCTGCATTTCCAGCCCCCCGGGGGCCCAGCGCGTCCAACGCTCGGGCGGGGGGCCGAGGTGCACGTTCG